TATATATATATATATATTATATCAGTCCTGGTAATTATTGATACTAAAACTAAACAGCTGCAAAAATCCTAGGGTTATATTTGTCTATAGAGAGCCTCCTAAAGGAAAAAAAAATCATGAATCATGGTTAATTTAAGGAGATGGTACAGTTTTAAAAGACCCAAAATGAAAGAAATATCTTCTGACCTTTAGCACCACTGATAACAAGTCCAAGCTCTGCACAGACAGAAACACAGACAACTTCATGGTCGTGGCCTGTGAGAACAGCCCTTGGTGCAGGATAGTCACCTGCAAGGAAATGGCAACAGAGAGTCACTGTATGCTGATGGCAGAAATGAAGAAGTACACCATTAAATCAAATGTTTAAAATAATAATCATTAATGTTTGTTAATGGCATTTACTAGCTGTGTTTTACCACAAGCCAGTTACTTAACTTCTCTGCTGTTTCCTGCTTAGATGACTGGATAATGTAACAAATATAATGTGCTTACATTATAAAGTGGTGATAATTATTCCTTTTTCCTGGTTATTGTTATAAAACAGATACCAAGCTGCCAAGGCATTTACATGCTTTATCTTATTTAATAACAGCAATATTCAGATGAGTTAGGCACTGTTATTATCCCTCTTTTATAGCCAAGAAACCCGTGTTTATAACTTGTACAAGTTCATACAGCAAGCAAGTACTAGACCTAGAGCTATCCAAATTTAAAATGCATGCTCGTACCCCTTTAAAAATGTCCCAACGGAACAAGCTGAGGAGCTTTGACTTTTTAAAATCCTCACCAATAAATATGTTTCTTGATTTTAGAGAGAGGGGAAAGGGGAGGAAGAGAGAAAGAGAGAAAGATGGGAGAGAGAGATGAGAGAGAGAGAGAAACACTCATGTGAGACAGAAACATGAGAAATAAACATTGACCAGTTGCCTCCCATACCTAGATATGTGTCCTGACCAGGAATCAAACATACAACCTTTTGTTTTATGGGATGACATTCTAATCAACTGAGCCACACTGGCCAGGGATGATTTTTGAAGAGAAAGGAAAGTAGGAAAGGAAAGAAGAAATGGTCATCTTAATTTCCTTCTTGACTTAATAAAGTCAAAGCCAGCTAAAGAGTCCAGCTGAACTATATGCCATAAGTATTTTCACTGCTAGGTGGTTTCAGGAACATTGAATGAATGCCTTCTAAGTGACAGGCACTCTCCAAGTGGGCTAGGAGTGGAACGTATCTACACTAATAAAAGACAAAGATGCTAATTGACCGCACCTTCCCTATGCCCAAGCCATGCCTACCAGCCAATCAGAGCGACTATATGCAAATTAACCCAACCAAGATGGCGGCTGGCAGCCACTGAGCTGGAGCAAGCAGGAGGCTTGGTTGCCCCGGCAATGGAGGAAGCCAAGCTTCCCGCACCTGTCCTGGCCAACTGTGGCCCCCGCAAAAGGCAGCAAAGTTTCAAATATAGAAGCTAAATAAACCCCAGATACCCGCTTCCAGCCAGCCTCTACTGGGAGCTTGGGTGGCTGAGGGCTGTGGCTAGCCTGCAAACAACCATCAGCCCCTCACCCGGGACAGCCAAACCCTCATGGGGTGAAGGTCTCTGCTGGGGGGCTTGGCAAGCCTGCAAACAGCCCTCAGTCCCTCACCCAGGCTGGCCAGGCACCACAGCAGGGACTCCCACCCTGAAGGGTCACTATGACGTGCACTGACCACCAGGGAGCAGACACTCAATGCAGGAGCTGCCCCCTGGTGGCCAGTGTGCTCCCACAGGGGGAGCTCTGCTCAGCCACAAGCCAGGCTGATGGCTGCCAGTATAGCGGTGGTGGTGGGAGCCTCTCCTGCCTCCTCAGCAGCACAAAGGATATCTGACTGCAGCTAGGCCTGCTCCCCGTTGGCAAGTGGACATCCCCCAAGGTTTCCCGGTCTGCCAGAGGGATGTCTGACTGCCAGCTTAGGCCCAATCTCCCAGGGAGCGAGCCTAAGCCAGCAGGTGGTAATCCGCCGAGGGGTCCCAGACTGCGAGAGGGCACAGGCCAGGCTGAGGGACCCCCCGAGTTCACAAATTTTTGTGCACTGGGTCTCTAATAGAGGTATAAGGCATAACCTGGAACTGTGAGAACACATCAAACAATCCTGGCCTTGCACAAGCTTACTCTCACCACTGGCACTCAGTAGTTAAAAGCATGAAGATGAACAAGTGTATGTGCACAGAGTATAGCACGGACCAAAAAAATCTGCAAAAATTTAAGAGACAATCAGAATATTTGGTGAATAAACTGCATGAAAACAGTGTGAAAATGGTTACCAAAGTTGAAAGGGCATCATGGCCAATACTGTCTTACTGGGAAAACCAGAGAAGCCAATTTGGAAGGAAAGTGAAGGACCTCTATAGTCTTGGGGTACAAAAGTGTAGAGGAAAAGAAAACAGTAGAAAGTCATAGAGGAAATCTGGAAGGTGAATGGGGTATGGTGCTAACCTGGGAAGGTCTGTGATAGTTCCTTTGGTGGATGGGAAAAGAGAGCCAGTGTTAGCAGTAAAAGAGGACCCGAAAGATCCACTGGAACAGCTCCTAAGGCAACATAAACTAAAGAGAAAATAAACAAATGGGACTATACCAAAATAAAAAGCTTCTGCACATCAAAAGAAACCATCAATAAAACAGCAAGAAAGCCCACTGCATGGAAGAACATATTTACCAATGTTATCACTGATAAGGGTTTAATTTCCAATATTTACAGGAAACTCATACAACTTAACAAAAGAAAGATAAACAAAAAACCCAATAAAAAAATAGGCAATGGACTTAAATAGACACTTTTCAAAAGAAGACAGAAGGAAGGCCAAGAGACATATGAAAACATGCTCAAAGTCACTAATCATCTGAGAGATGAAAAGCAAAACAACAATGAGGTACCATCACACTCCTATCAAAAATGGTTATCATCAACAAATCAACAAAAGACAAGTGCTGGTGAGGATGCGGAGAGAAAGGAACCCTCATGCACTGCTGGTGGGAATGCAGACTGGTGCAGCCACTGTGGAAAACAGTATGGAGTTTCCTCAAAAAACTAAAAATGGAACTCCCAATTGACTCAGTAGTCCCACTTCTAGGATTATATACCAAGAAACCAGAAACACCAATCAGAAAGGATATAATCTTTCGGGTCCTCTTTTACTGCCAACACTGGCTCTCTTTTCCCATCCACCAAAGGAACTATCATAGCAGCACAATTTACCATAGCTAAGATTTGGAAACAGCCTAAGTGCCCATCAGCAGATGAGTGGATTAGAAAACTGTGGTACATCTACACAATGGAATACTAACTACACTGCGGTAAAAAAGAAGTAATTCTTTCCACTTGCAACAGCATGGATGGAGTGGAGAGCGTTATGCTAAGTGAATTAAGCCAGTCAGAGAAAGATAATTATCACATGATCTCACTCATTTGTGGCATAAAATGAACAACATAAACTGATGAACAAAAACAGATCCAGAGACAGAGAAGCAGTGATCAGACCGTGAAACCTCAGAGGGAAGGTAGGGGAGGGCTGGGTTAAGAGGGGAGAGATCAACCAAGGGCTTGTATGCATGCATATAAGCCTAACCAATGGACACAGACACCAGGAGGGTAAAGGCATGAATAGGGGTAGGGTGGGGACAATGGGGAGATAAGGACACATATGTAATACCTTAATCAATAAAGGAAAAAAAGAGCTTGGAAGTGTTCCTTCCTCTTGAATTAACAACATAGATAACTCATCTATAAAATATGTGAACAACATGATTCGGGGCAAGCATATTTATACATCAACTAGAGGCTCAGTGCACTAAATTTGTGCATGGGGAGGGTTTCCCTCAGCCCAGCCTGCACCCTCTCCAATCCGGGACACCTCGGGGAATGTCCAACTGCCAATTTAAGCCTGATCCCCAGGATCGGGTTTAAACCAGCAGCCAGACATCTTTTTCACAATCCTGGACTGCTGGCTCCTAATTGCTCACCTGCCTGGCTGCCCGGTCGCCCCTAAATGCCCCACCCGCCAGCCTAATTGCCCCTCACTGCCTCTCTGTGCCAGTCTAATCACCCCTAACTGTCCCCCATGCTGGCCTGGTCACCCCTAACAGCCCCTCGCTGATGGACAGGTCACCCCCAACTGTTCCCTCCCTGCTGACTTGGTCACTCCTAACTGCCCCTCCAGCTGGCCTAGTCACCCCTTACTCCCCTTCTGCCAGCCTGGTTACCACCAACTGCCCCCCTCTACCCTCTACCAGCTTGGTTGCCTCTAAATGCCCTCCCTACTGGCCATCCTGGATGCCTCTCACTGTACCCCCTACGAGCCTCATCACACCAAACTGCTGCCCCTGCCAGCCTGGTTGCCCCCAAGTGCCCCCACTTGCCAGCCTGGTCACCCCTCACGACCCTCCCACTGGCCTGGTCACCCCACACAACCTGCTGTTCAGTCGTTGGGTCATCCCTTACTAACCCCCCTGCCAGCCTGGTTGCCCCCAAGTGCCCCCACTTGCCAGCCTGGTCACCCCTCACGACCCTCCCACTGGCCTGGTCACCCCTAACTGCCCCCCTCTGCTGGCCAGGTCGTCCCCAACTGCCCCCTCCCTGCCATCCTGTATGCCCCTCACTGCCCCCCCACCAGCTTAATCACCCCCAACTGTCCCCCTGCCAGCCTGGTTGCTCCTAACTGCCCCCTAGTGTAACAATTAGGATTGAAATATTGGGCAGAAACAAGCAAAATAAAATTCAACAAATATATGAAAAAAAAAGGAAGATTCACTGAAGTAAAACTCCTGTGAAGGCAGTGTAATCAGAAAAATAGACATAAAACACTTAAAGGCAGTATAATCAGACTCAACATATATCAATGTTTTGTAATGCCTCACTATTTCATTAAAAACATCACATGTATTAATGTCTTATGTTGCCTATTTATTTCTTCTAATTTAAAAAGAAATAAAGATTTTTTTATTGATTTTATAAAGAGGAAGGAAAAGGGAGGGAGAGAGGAAAGGAAGGAGGGAGAGAGGGAGGGAGGGAAGGAAGAAGGGAGGGAGAGAGAAACATTGATTGATTGGCTGCCTCCCGCATGCACCCCAACTGGGAATCAAACCCTCCACATTTTTGTGTATGGGATGACACTCCAACCAACTGAGCCACAACAGTCAGGGATCTCACTTTTAATTTTTAAACAGCTCTAGCTATGACATTGGTTTATTCTGGCTGTGTTGTTTAGTTGATGATATAATATCATCTTAGCAAAGAGTAAGTACTA